GTCATAAATTTCTGCCCCTCGACTCCCACCGGCAGCCATCGTCCTTGTCATGTTTCCCGTTTTCGCATTTCGTGCCGCGACCGCTCGAACAACTTCGTGCTCCTTGATGCGCGAAAGATTCAAAAAGTCGATAGTCGACCCATGCCGTTCCGCGAAGACACATCGGATTTTGTAATTTTCTTTACTCGTCGCGTAAGGCGACTATTACGCAACTTTGTTGGCGCATGTCGGTTGAGCACCCCTGGCAAGCATCGGCCGCATAAATCTTTCGGAGGCACTATATCCTCCGCCGCATGAACCTCGAAAAGGATTCGTCGGTCGACGTTCGACCGCGCAAAATTAAAAGGATCGGTGAAGCAGACATGAGGTATCGGAATACGCGTTAGAGTGTCGTTGATCTATGTCCAGGAAGCTGAGTCTCTCGACGACACGCAGCCATTCGCTTCTGGATATTCGGTTTTATTCGATCGTTAATTTGATCGATCTTCGAAGTTCGGATTCGCATGGAATGTCGAAGGAACGTTTCGAACGGTGGAAGGCGAAGAGAGCGAAAGACGAGAGACGAGAGAAGAGAAAGGGAGTTGGTCGATAGAGAAATTAGGGGTACATTTCTTGGCGAGGGAATTCGCGTGGCCGAGTGGCAGGGGCCCGAAGATCGGCATTTCGATACCTCGAAGTCGTGCAGAAGATGCCACGGTGCCGAGAGACGGTGGAAGGCTTCGTCGTTCTTTTCGGTCGTCGCGGCTCCGAACGAAGGAATGGAAAAGGACGGAAAAAGATGGAAAAGGATGGCAAGAAAAGGATAGAAAGGAAGGTTTGGAGAATGAGGAGAAGGGGGAGGAGGAGGAGGAGGAGGAGGAGGAGGAGAAGAAGGAGAAGATGAAGAAGAAGAAGAAGAAGAAGGAGCGGGAGGATAATGGTGGAGCGAGGAGTACAGAGAACGGAGGGGACTGGCCCTTGACGCATGACTCCAATGACACTCGTACCTATAAATCTCGCTGCGCTCCGAGCTCCGTACGGTCGAGTCCATATATTACTATGAGTTACGGGTGTAAACCGTTTAAACATCGGATTACCCGTTTTACATACTGTCTTTAATATTAACACTTGCGTCGGGGTTCGCCTAAATCAGCTTGACCAACCAGGAGCCCGCGTTCTCGCGTTCGCGCCTTTTCGCCCTCGTGCCACCGTCGATTAATTAATCCCTAGTCGCAATCATTGTCGTAATCGTGGTCGTGGTCATACTCGACGAAAGGCAGGAGGAACGCTGTATGCGATTAGGCTTCGACGAATAACGTGATTTACGGATAGCGATCGAGGGAGCGTTATTACTTTCCGTCAGATCGTATATCACTCCTATACCGAGAGAGCCGATACTTTAGCAGGCAAACGAATTATCATCTCGCAACCGACTTTCTTTCCATTGTTTTTGATCCGCTTCGACTTCGAAACAGCAGAACGGACGCAGTTGCAACTAACGGAGCGAACAGGGAACGCGTACACCCGGTATTATTGATCGATCGGTTCGCTCGTATAATTGCTCAAAAAACAGAACAATCAGAGTAGAGGAACGGCGAAGCGGTTGGCACATCGCTAGGACCATTTGAGCACCCCGAGAAATTCCTTTCGCTTGAAATATTGCGGCGAACGCGTTGCCCTGCACCGAGGGTAAGAACTCTGGCCCTCGACACGCGCACGCACGCTTCTCCGAATAACGCGCGCGAGAGAAAAAGAAAGAGAGCGACGAAGATCGTTGGAGAAGGAAGCGAAAGAGAAAAACGGAAGGAATGAACTTCGAAGTACGCGAGAGAAAAAGAAGGAAACAGCGAAGAAAGAGAGGCGAAGTAAGTAGAAGAAGTAGGTAGGAAGAAAGGAGGTAGGAGGCTGATTGGCTCCGAAAAAAGGCAATGGTACGGGGCACGCTGTTGTGATTTATGTCGACCGGCTCCAAGCGTCCCCGTAGATTCGTTCTCTACGCCGGCTAATACCTCGACATTATTTGGCTCGATAAGAGGATTTTACCAGAGATTGAAATAAGCATAATCGCTCGGGTTTGTACTTCTGGTCTTTGCGCTTGACAAGTTCTACGTACAGTGCTTCCCAACTGTTAACCTTTGATGCTTGTCCCTTTCCATTTATACTATCTGGACGATAGGTTCTGTCTAATTTTGATTATTTATACTGTCGCAGGGGGCCTCAGTACCGTAGCTATCGTGAGGGTGCAAGTAACGGACGTTAACGACAACCGTCCGATCTTCGAACCCAGAAAGTATAACGTCACCCTGAAGAGTGACGGTCCTATTCAGGGACCGATTTTGAGGCTGGTAGCTACGGACTTGGACGTGGGTCTTTTCGGTCAAGTAGCATATCGGATCACCAACGGGAACGAAGCTGGTGTTTTCCACATCGATCGAAATACCGGCGAACTTCAAGTCGCGAGACCGAGTTTACTTTCGAGATCACCGCTGCATCAGTTGAACGTGACGGCGACGGACGCGGCTGGCCTGAAGAGTACGTTCGACGCCGAAGTCCGGATCACCACATCCTCCCCCGGGCATAGAATCGCCAGCTGCGAGAAGCCACGCTACACCATCACCGTTAAGGAGACCGTTCCTCAGAACAGCATCGTTGGTGGCGTGAAAGACGGAGCTTCGTCCCCTGTGTCGTCAGGTAAGTCGGATACCTCATAATCATTAGCGACCACTTAGCCGAGAGTACCCACATTCGCTCATCATTCGGCAGCGTTTATATTTCCCCCGTGTTGTCGCGGTATTATCGATTTCCGGCGAAGAAGGTTCGCGCAAAGGCGTTGCATACCGAGTTTAATGGTCGGGGTTTGAGGAAAGCAAGGTACATATACGATCGTTGCTCGGTAGCTGGCGGCGAGTACATCGAAAACGTATTCCACGCGCGGCGTTACTGCGTTAGCATAGTCGCGTCACGAGAAAACGGCGGTGACGCGACGTAGCGAGCGCCCACGTGTTAGTGTACGTGCAAGCATGTAGAGCCATAGTCAGCATAAGAACAGGTAGGGTCGGAGCCAACTACTTTACGTCCTTCTTTCTCGTATCCACCGGAGGAACCGACGACATGTAAATCATACGGGGAAGTATTATGAGTGATATCGTGCAGGAGCGTGATAACTGTTTCGTTCAAACTTCAGTAAAAGTATCGTACAATTTCGCGTTTCTTCGCGACCAGCGTGGATAAAAGAAAAAAACGAAAGAAGCTAGGAAAAGGCGGAAGGGCGAAGGAAAGAAGAAGAGAAGAGGATGCGAATAAGGGTAAGGTCGCGGACGGATGCTTGGGTTGGTCGGTGCAGACGCGATTCTCGAAGGGTTAAGAGCGTGAGGGAGGAGAGGAAAGGTAAAGGCGGGAGAGGTACGTATCCGTGTTTCCACACTGGTGGTACATCCGATGCAAGATACGGCGCGTCACGACCTGCGCTCACCGCGCCATATAACCGATGCACCGTGTAAAGTGTCTCGTGGCGTATCGACCGGCACGGTTCGCTACGTTATAGGTTCGAGAATGGTGAATAGTTTACACGATGGTGCCTTACCGGTGGTCGTATTGTTCGGCCGCCATGGCCCGCATATGCAGCCTGTTGCATATCAATGCGCGAACCTCGAATGTGTTCCTCCTTCGTCGACCGGCGCGACGTCGTAGCTCACTGTCTTTCTTTCGTTGGCTGCTCTCTTTCGCTCCCATTCTCTGCCGCTTCGATCTCTTCTTTCGCCAAGTTTCTCGATCGATCTTGCGTTCTGCTGTCTCTTTCTCGACGTTCATATTCCTCGGCGCGCGATCGAAACAGAGAAACGAGGAGGCCGGCCGAACATGGGATACGCTATCGCAGGTTGAAAGGTATTCCGTCCTCGGCGAACGCACGAACCCGATTCGTCGCAAATCTCTGCTTCTTCGCTGTTCGAGCGATCCCTATGGCGGG